AAATAGGAAATGGCCTTGCCGGGGCGCTGACGAGGTAGCTGTTGCTAGTGCTTACAGAGGCTTAATTTCTGATTCTCAGTAAGTCGGAAGAGCTTTCTGAAAGCTTCCCTTGATTTCATGAAGCAGAGGAAGGCAGCCTGTGATGAGTCACCCATGAGCTGTAGGTCACGGTGTTAGCAGAGGTATTACCCAGAGTCACTTAAGCAATCCTTGACAAATCCTTGACAAATCTTCTGAGAAAAGCCTCTTCTTCTATTCCCACAATGATTCACTATGTTTGAAATCCCGGAGGGCAGGAAGAAGCGAGAACCTACTTTTGCTTTTATCTCCATCCAAACCCCAACCAAACTCCCTGCCACCCAGTGGATGATGTATTGCTAGTAAAGGCCAAGAGTCACTTGTTCAATGTTAAAACCTGTAGCTTTTGAGTTGCTTCTGGCTCACAAGGACCCCATGTGTATCCAAGTCAAGCTGTGCTCCAAAGCGTTTTCAATCGCTGGGTTTTGGGGGCGTAGATTACCAGGCCTTTCTTCCACGGCAATTCAAGGTAGACAAGGCCATTTCCTATTTGGATTGCACAGAAGGGTCGTGGGGAGGAAACAGCCAGTCAGGGTGGAGTGTAGCAACATACAACTTTCCTCTAGTTCCTAAATCCTCCCCACCCCCACCCCACCCCTATCATGATTCTACCTTACAAATCTGGCTAGACCCAAGGATGTACACTGGTACAGATAGGAACTGGAAACACAGGGAATCCAGGGCAGATGGTCCCTTTAGGACCAGTGAGAGTGGCGATACCGGGAGGGTGGAGGGAGGGTTTAGTAGAAACGGGGAACTGATTACAAGGATCTACATATAACCTCCTCCCCGGGAGACGGACAACAAGGAAGTGGGTGAACAGAGACGTCGGACATGGCTAGATATGACAAAATAATAATAATTTGTAAATTATCAAGGGTTCATGAGGGAGGGGGAGCGGGGAGGGAGGGGAAAAATGAGGAGCTGATACCAAGGGCTCAAGTAGAAAGCAAATGTTTTTAGAATGATGATGGCAACGAATGTACAAATGTGCTTGACACATGGTTATATGTATGGATTGTGGTAAGAGTTGTATGAGCCCCCAATAAAAATTTTTTTTAAATGCAACTATACGAAAGAAATACAGAACAATCCAAACGGCATCGCCTCAAACCTCTTGAAAACAAATTATATAAGCACACAGTCCTTGAGTCATCAGATCGATGATATCATCACACAACGGGTCACCTCTGGGAAATTACAAGGAGATCTAAAAAAGGCAAATGACATCACTCCTAGAATGAAACCATTTCTTCCTTTCGCCGTCCTAGGCCAGTTTCCTCAGAATTTGCTTCAACGACGGGCCAAGGAGAAAACAGCTAGGTTACAGGTCGGGACTACAAAGCAAGATTCTTTTCAAAAAATGTCCCGGGATTACTTGCGTGCGTAGGCGAGGACTTCTGAGAAGGTTCTACGAAGTACTGCTAGAGGGCGCCGCTTTGGGGCGTGGCACCAGCTCCCAGTGCGCATGCTCTGTTTACTCCGGCACCCGGAACACAGCGGATCCCGGGGGGTGGGAGAGGGCGGGGCAGAGGGGATAACCGCGATCTTATTGGGCGAGGCGCCAG